AATTCTGGAGCGGAAATGACATGATTTCAGGATGTAAAAATATTAGGACGAGGGAATTCTCTGAACCTATGGTGAGTGGTAGAAAAGAGAGGGGCTATGTAGCTGACCCACTTATTCTAGATGTGTGTGCATGACAGAAATCTAGTTTTGTGGCTTTATGACCACAAAAAGATGACAAAACAGTCTAGCTGGGAGAAGCCTTTGGAATTAATGAATCCTTTAGAGGTGAGCCATCTCCTGACATGTTACTCTAAAATCCTAAATACAATTTTTTTTATATTGGTCTCAGGGGTCTTATGAATTTTGTTAGCATTGTTATATATGAATGTTGACCACTAAGCCAAACATAATCAAATTGCACATAGGAGTTTTATACTTGTTCTCCATTTCTTTGCATGTTCTACTCGTATGTAGCTGTCATGGCAAAATCACAAGAGTAAACAAACTATAAATTTCCGCAAGTACTGATTGATTGAAAGGAAAATTAGTGGCATAGTCTCAAACACCTAGTATGCGTCAAAAATGATTTGTATATGAAGTTCTAAGCTATGTGCTGTGCGCAGGCAGAAATAGGAGATAAAACAGAAAAGTAGGAAACAAACCCAATACAAGCATAAATTGAAACAAAACAAACGCACGGAAAGAGATGCAAAGTACGATGCTGCCAAATACACTGGAGTTAGTTCGACAAATGTCGTCTACAAACATAGAGAATACGTTCTAAAACTACAACAAATTAAACGAATCAATAAACATCAACTACGGGAGGGAAGAATATAAACTCACCAAAGTAGTGATCAGGACTCTTGGAAAAGATGATAAGCCTAAGGAAACCCCCATTTATAGAAGCATAGGAGGAAATCATCTGAAACTGATCAAATTTCATCATTGAATAGGAATTTAATGAAATCCCCATTGATGCTCCAACTTCTGGAACGATCGGTGGAAGAGTACGGCCGTTTACCTTCAGAAACGGAATTGGGAAAAAGAAGCAGTCCGAAGGAGTCCATTTGGTTTGAACCGGCAGAGTTAGACGGCGTGAAGCAAGTAAGCGATCGGTTAACGTCTTTATCTGCTTAATAATCAAGGTATAACAATAGTAGCGCAATGTACAGGTGGAGAAAGCAAAGTCCCAAGAGGGTGTAGCATTTAATAAGAATATGTGTCCTTTATTAGTTAGGTTAAGATATATACTCAATGATTTTCTTTCCATATAAAAACTATACAGTGTATAGATAGTATACTCTTTGATTTATTTTTTTCCCATTGTACCCTTAATTTGGGTGGGAATTTTTCATCCAATTGTGGTGCAAAAACGGTTATTTTATATTATATAAAGATACGAGCAATCTGAACAAACTGTAACTTATAAGAGCTACCTCAACAAGCTGGGAATTTACCATGCCAAGGTCAGCTCGTACAAACTTTTATGCACTCTTATTTGAACGTAATTTATGTTACTCCCTCCGGTCCTTAATGAAGTTTAACTTTGACTTCACACATATTAAGGGAAAAATTTTGACTTTACCGTAGAGTACACTGTTTGACACGGTTTGACACTGTTTGACACTGTTTTGCATTGTTTTACACTGTTTGATGTAGATTTGTTTGCCAAATAAGGCAAATAAGGAAGTGTAAAGTTTAATATAGGACAACCCAAAAAGGAAAATGTAAGTTAATTAAGGACCGGAGGGAGTATATTTTACATGACCTGTCAGGGAAAATGGCTTTATTGTGAAAAGTGGAATTAGTGGAATGAAGGGACATATTCTGAGCACACTGACCTTACTCTACACGATTCCTCAGGCTCTCGCGATGAACAATTTAAGGGAAAGGGTTGTTGAGACAGATGGTGAGTGGTGACAAACTAAAAGAATTGGGGAAGAGGCATAAAAAAGTTATGTATCAAAATAGAGAAAGGGTGAAAGGATTATCCATGTTGTTTACCTTGCTTCATTAGACTAAAAGTTAATCTTTTTGCGGTATACCCTTCATCCTGTCTAGAGCAATTTCATTTCCCTATTTTGTAAGTTCCTATTTAGTTTTATCTAAATGTGTTCACAAATACGAAACTGAGGGGCGTAGCCATGATCAAAGTTTGGGGTGGGTCGGTATAGGTATTTTTTTCAAATAAATTTTTACACGTAAATTTTTACACTAAAAATACAAAGAATTTTAAAATTTGTGGTGGGTTGGGGCACGGTTCCCCTTACCTCTGCCCCTGAATATGATAATGTGTACTTTGTTATTACTTGTCAATGTAAATATAGTGTAATCTGTGTTCTAATTTTAGGAGTGGTGTTCTCCATCAAATTGACACAGTCTAAGCGGCCATTTCGATGATCTCATCTATTGCAATTAGTATAACATTTCACTAAACTTGGGTTTTAATTGCACGTTCTAATTAAAGATTGAATGTAGGAAAAAATACTCATTATTTTTCTATGTTGCATACGCTCTCAAGGATCCTAGATTTAACATGCTTACACTTTACTGTATTTTATCAGTTGTAAATGCCATTAGGATGCACTTACGTTGTTAAAATTGCTTCTTAAAAATGCTTTGCTCCTTTAGGAAGTAGAAAAATATCTGGAGAGTTTGGGTGAAAGTATGGAAATACGTCTAAGTGTTTCAAATTGTTTCGAAAATCAGTTTTTAGAAGTTCATGGAGACTATCTTATGAAAAATTGTTTCTGATTATACTTTTGTTTAAAAAAACAGAAGCAAAATCAATCAGAACCACCAACAATCAACTAGTAAGAATCTTTTTTTTGTATAAATATTAATGCAAATAGGTTTTACATTTTGAGAGTAATGAATTCAATGCAAACTAATATTACTATCACTCTATTACACTCTCTTTGGCGCAAACAGGTTATGTTACCTCCTCACATCTTTATCACTTCCTTCATTTTTAAAGAAGTGAAATGATCTATTTTTCACGTTTGAAAATATACATATTTGACAATAAATATATATATATATATATATATATATATATATATATATATAATTCTCTGTTAGTAAATAATTTTAAAAATCAGATTTTAAAAATTTATAATGAGACAGACTCAACAAAATTTTTAAAAAATCATTAGTACATTGATAAATAAAGTGTATTCAAATTAGAATATATAAGTAATGTAAAACTCAACATATTGTATTTATTTAAAAACGGAGGAAATATTATAATTCGCACAAAGACTATTTGCCACGTTAACAAACGGTCCAACGTGTATGGGAAATTATATTCACAACCCTTAATTTACTATTCACAGTCACAAAATTAAATAATAATAAATTTAAAAATATCAAATATCCAGATTACCCTTTATCATTTAATAATTAATCTAACAATATAACATGTCCCTTGCTCGACACACCTAATTCTAAGAAGAAACTATCGGTTGCACTCCCTTCCATCTTTCTGGTGTCGCCGCAAGAAGACGTATGTGTGCACATCAAGTAATTAGAGCCAAAAAGAAGATCTAAGCAGAATCCTGAAAGAAATATCAGAACAATTTATACTTGCATACTTTCATATATTCTCATCATTTAAGAGATCAGAATTTTCATATTTCCTAATGGTTGGGATATTCCCTAAGGCCCAAGAGCGAGGCAAAACCCAATGCGGAGCAAGGAGATTTCGAACGGGATCTGAGCAACCGGAGAAGATGCCCCTTCGGCACATCCCGAATGGGTCTTAGTCATCACTTGGCAGATAATCAGTATCCTCCTTGACTGATGGCTTAGCGGGTCCCAGGACCGATCGTGGAGCTGTACAAATGGCAGACTACATTTAATGCTAGGGTATGAGGGTCACAAGTGGGAACATGGGTGCACAAGCACCATTTAATCCAGGAAAAGGGGTTATCATTTGTTTACTCACAAGTATTATACTTTATTCTAGCTCTTGTATTAGACCGTGGACTGTAACTCCCGTTCGGCCATTTCTCTGTATTCACACTTGGTACATCTATACACTTGGAGCTATTGAGTGACTTTCATTAGTTGTCAACCTTTCTTAAACACTTTCTCTTATTGTTAATCCTTCATATCCCAAGGTCGGTGTTGGGTCTTTGGATACACCAGGACTTAAACTCAACAATAATGATGCACAATTCATTCTCAATCTTAAAAAGAAAAATCAATAAATCATGGATCATCATTTGTTTCCCCTAAATCGAGCCATACTTGCAGATTGCAGAAAAAGCTACCGGAGTAATTGCGGCAAAGGTGATATTTGCCTTCAGCTTCTTTATCTTTGTGGAATGTTGAGACACAAGCTACAGGATATGTGAGTTGGAAATCTAATAAAATACTCCCTCCGTATCGAAAAGGTTCACCAGATTTACTATTTGTTGGTCAATGACAATCAACTTTGATCAATGATATATTTTAATACTCACTCCGTAACACTCATATCTTCCCACTTTCTTTTTTTAGTTGTAACATTCATATCTTCTCATTTCTAAATCTTCCTATCATACCCTCAATAATTTTTAAAATAATACACTATTACAACTACTTTTTTTGAATTTATCCTTCATTCCAGCACACTATTTCATTATTTTCTCATTATACACTCAATAATTTATATCTCCTTTCACTATTCTTAATCTCATCTTCTTTTCAAATGGGAGGATATCTGTTATGGAGGTAGTACAAAATTATTTTGAATATGAAAATTATATCAAAATGTTCGTTATTCAAAATATTTTCATAAAAGTATAAAATTTGTAAATTATATACAAATATAATAACTCAAATCAGTGTACAAAATTAATAATCATTGATTAAGAAAAGTCAATTTAACGAATCTTTCCGGGAGAGAGGTAGTATGAGTGCGATTAGAAAATAGGGGGCTGCATATAGAATAAAATTTCCCAATGTGTATTCCACACCAAATGGGCCACCTCTTAACGTTTCCTCAAACGAGTTGCCGAAGCCCACAACAGCAATTAGCAAGTCCAATTACTATAGCATCTTCTTTCTCAAGTGGCACCAGCGCCGCAAGCAACTGAGGCGGGACTCGGGAGCACAAGAGATATCAGGAAAGAGAGAGAGAGAGAGAGAGAGAGAGAGAGAGAGAGAGAGAGAGAGAGAGAGAGAGAGAGAGAGAGAGAGAGAGAGAGAGAGAGAGAGAGAGAGAGAGAGAGAGAGAGAGAAAATGGGGAAGAAAGAGCAGAAGCCAGGGAAAGGTAAAGAGAAAACTGAGAGGAAAACAGCAAAAGCCGATGAAAAGAGAGCGAAAAGAGAATCTAAGAAACTTTCCCCAGAGGATGACATTGATGCTATCCTGGTACTTGACCATGTGCTTTATTACTCCATATGACTTCTGCAGTACCCCCAAAATCTTCCTCTAAACAAATTTCATAAAGAACCGTTCTTTTGATTCTGGGGAACTAATGAAATTACTTGGCTGCGTTCTTTTGGACCAGTTGAGCATACAGAAAGAGGAGGCTAAGAAGAAGGAAGTCACTGTTGAAGACAACGTTCCTGCACCTTCCCCTCGCTCTAATTGTTCGGTATATATGGACTAAATAGTTCGGGGTTGGTTTAGAAAATTTGTTTTGAGATGTCGATGTTAATTTTGTTTTGTTTTGTTTTGAAGTTGAATATTAATCCGTTAAAGGAGACTGAACTAGTACTCTATGGAGGCGAATTTTATAACGGCAGCAAGGTAGTTCCTTTCCTATGATTGATTACGTTTGAAAACCTACCCATCCTTTTAAATTTTATTGGCATCAAATATTCTCGCTGAAGTATTTCAGAAGACAAAAGGGAGAAACAAATGATGATCATGTGGTTGCGCTAGTATACTGACGTAATAGTAATAATGATGATGATGATAAGAATAAGAATAATACTACGTAATAATAAATTGAAGAAAGATGGTTTCAGTTACCAAGATTATGTGGCTGTTTATCTGGATATATCCATAGTTGGAACTGATGCACTGCGATTTATGGGAATTGCTAACTGCAGACATTTGTATATGGCAATCTCTATCGTTATGATGTGGAAAAGCAAGAGTGGAAGTTGGTCTCAAGCCCTGATAGTCCGCCACCTCGCAGTGCCCACCAAGCTGTTGCTTGGAAGAATAACCTCTACATTTTTGGTAAAGCATTCACTTGCAAGCTGTTAAAGATTTGAAGTTTGGACATGTAGCTTGCATTTTGATGCTTGTATGCGAGATAACTCATCTCTTACGAAATTTGTGCATGGGACTCTATGATGATAAAATTGTGTCTTTGTATACTCAGGTGGTGAATTTACTTCACCCAATCAAGAGCGGTTTCATCACTACAAGGTAGAACCTTTGCCTTTATAGTTTATAGTACATATTAGTATATGGCTAACATGCATTGGCTTTGATATGCTTGCAATTGTGCTTTATGAGATGTTTTGCACAGGATTTTTGGGTATTGGACCTGAAAACAAATCAATGGGAACAACTAAATTATAAGGGTTCTCCTAGTCCACGCTCAGGTCATCGGATGGTAAGTTCATCCCATCAAAGTGATGTTTGTTTTGACACATTAGCTCATTATCTTGTTATAAGAAATGACATGTTGTTATTTTTTATGCTCTAAAGTGTGGTTCACTTTTGGGATTTTCCGCTGCATACTGTTTATCATATTATTTATTTATTTATTTAGTCATTCATTCATTCATTCATTCATTCATTTATTTATTTATTTATTTATTTATTTATTTATTTATTTATTTACTTATTTGTTATTGTTATGCATCTGGACCTTCCTAGCTTGTATAGCAAGGAGTTATTACGCCCCTATTTTGGAATATTTCAGGTTTTATACAAGCACAAGATCATAGTGTTTGGAGGATTCTATGACACGCTTAGAGAAGTGAGGTCAAATTTCCAGTCTTTGTCATCTAACATTTTCTTTCTGTTAATGATTGTGTATTTCTAGAATTTCCTTGTGATCCATTTATGATTCATATTATTTTAGCTTGTAGCTTATCTGATATGTAGGAGTTATCACATTTCTGTTAAACTTCACAAGTTTCCTATAATTTGCAGGTATTACAATGATCTTCATGTCTTTGATTTGGATCAGTTTAAGGTGCATTGATTTTTACTAGAATTTATATTTTCCTATTTTCAAAAAGTTGGATTCTCTATTTAACAGTTTTGCTCTAATTACATCAATAATCTTCAACCTGCAGTGGCAAGAAATAAAGGGTACTCCTGGATGTTTATGGCCAAGTGCTCGAAGTGGCTTCCAGCTGTTTGTTCATCAAGATGAGGTGTTTTATTCAGCAGTACAGCGTAATAGTATATGCAACATTTTTATGCGAATGCTCAATATGCTAATTCTTTTCAGGTTGAGCATGATATGTTGTAGTTTCTTGGCTGCATGATAATGAGACTTTTTTTATTAGTAAAGTTCTGTTTTGAATTTTTTATCTTCACATTTGGGAGTATTGTATTTTCCATCATTCGCAATGGAGCCAAAGGCTCACTATTTTTTGGCCCGGGAATATGATGGAATAAAGCAAAATGGCTTACCAAACTGTCCGCGCTTCTCTGATATGAAGCAGCAGTCAGTCCATGCAATTTTTGACACGTTTTTTACTATGGGTCAATCGGAAACAGTCTCTTTGTGTGTTAGTACAGGGGTAAGACTGTGTACATCCGATCTCCCTACCCCACCGTAGGTGGGAGCCTTTGCGGTACTGGGGTAATGATGATGATGAATGATGATGACATTTGGGAGTATTGTCTATTTTTTCATTTTTGGGGGAAAATGATATTTTTATTTGTAAAGTTCTGCTTTGAATTTCTTTACCTTCACACCGGGGAATCTTGTCTATTTTTGGGGGAAAATGCTTTAATGATTGTGTCCATCACAGTTCTGGTTTCTTAGTATATTTTAGGATTTTGTAACTGTATATGTGTTTCTACTCATCATATGGCATGTCAGAAAAGCTATTATCTTCTGGCAAAAAAAACATAAAATTTGGGTGGTGGTGTAGTAAGGAAGAATATGTGTGAGCTTTGTTATAAACTTATAGTTTCATGTTTATTACAACAAAGAGTAAAGTAGGGAGGGAGGTGCATCACAATGAAACACAATTGGTAGTTTTATTATTATTTGAGGAATAAGCAAAAGACCAAGGATGTTGGTTGTGCAGCAAGGGGAAATATTCGAGTATGTGACAGTTTTGTCGCAGGTCTAAGTTGGTCATGGTAGCAAAACTGAATTTCAACATACCAGTCTGTGTAAAGCCCAGCATAGTCCTCATGATTTAATTTGGTTAATTGGTAGTCACCATTTATCGTGTTTTACACATTCCACATTTCGTCCCAAATTTTCAGAAAGGTGATAAGTACTTAAATTGGCACAGGGTATAATTACTTGCTCTTAAGTTGCAATCATCTCCCTGTTATGATTAATGTAGTTCTAGCCCTTTGCCTTTGAAATATCAGATATACTTATATGGCGGCTATTCCAAAGAAATTTCACCTGACAAGAGTGGCTCAGAAAAGGGCGTTGTTCACTCAGATATGTGGTCCCTTGATCCTAGGACATGGGAATGGAATAAGGTTAGTAATCTTGATCGATGACACTCTCCTTTTTTCATTTTCAATTATATGTGCATGGGTGCAAGTAAGGGCTGTTTATCCTTCAGTGTTTAAGATAGGGCCAATCTTTATACACTAAACCAGATTAAATAGACACTGTAAGTCCCCACTGAGAAATTCGGATGCAGGGTCTGCGCAGGGTTGAATTTTATTATGATATAAAATTATCGTCACAATTCACAATGTTCTTATTTACCTAAACCACCAGTGTGCCTCATATATGACTCCATTTAGCTCTATCTACTCCCTACGTCCCACTAACATTGCCCCATTTTTTCGTTTTCGATCCATCCCACTAAGATTGTCCCATACCAATTTTGGTAAAGTTTGTGTGGTTGTAAATCATTCTTACTTTATTTTTATTTTATCAATTCAATATCAACCACATAAACTCACTTTTCCTAATAGTCGCACCTCTTACTGATGTCCCAAAGTTAGTGGGACGGAGGTAGTAGTATTTAACTAGTTGTTGTGATGTGTTATCACTGCAGTGCGTACATAATGTTATTCATATCGTGTAATCCAATCATTGATTTTGAAATTTCAAGGCCGAAGAAGAGTGATGATTTGTTTGAGTTACATTTATTGCATGTGACTGATGTACATGCATTACATGTATTTATAACTCAATGAAAGCAAGTGTGTATTGAGCGTGTATGTATAAAGCGTTGACTAAGAAATTGTGGTATGATTTCCATCGAAAAGTATGACTTTGGGGTATACTTGAAAACGTATACTGATGTATGTTTTTATGTACGATACAATTTGTTGTTATGTATATAGTTTATAAATATGGATCATTGTACTCTCAGAATTATGTTTCTAAACACAACCAATGAGTTCCTCCCTCAAAGTCCCCAAAACAAAAAGCTTTCATGCCCACCTTAGTTAACACATATATATGTCGAGAATCATATGCCTCCTCCTTTATTCAATACTCGCAACACTTTGATCTTTACATTATTTGCATACTTTATTTTGAATAAATTTTATTTATTAATTCATTAAAAAAAAATTACTCCCTCTGTCTCGTAAACCTTGGTCAATGTTTACTTGCACATGGAATAATAAAGTAAAAACTGTGAGATTGAGATTTTTGTAGAGGAGATGGATAACTTTAACCCCATATTTATTACTCTACATGAAAATGACAAAGTTTTTTGGGACAACTAAAAAAGGAAAGTTGGCAAAATATTATGGGACAGAGGGAGAATTTGATCAAAGTAAAATTTCTAAATATGATTTGTTTACAATTTTTATTAATAGTTAATTAAATTTAGGGAGAACTATCAAATAAGCCCTCGAACTTGCAAAAAAAGTGCAAATCAGCCCTTTTATAAGAGGCTCTGTCCGGTCGTCGTCATTTGGGGCGGTTTCTGGTGGAATTTTTTGCTGAAATATTTTGAGCATCTTATTCATTAAGTCTAGTTTACTCATATCAAGTTTGAGCTAAAAATTCAATCGGGAAGACAGTCAAATGAATATTTGAAGATAACTGCGCAGTTAGACAGCGCAGTATATTTCAGAAAATCATTTCATTGCCTTCTCGGTTGAATTTTTAGCTGAAATTTGGTATGAGTAAAATAGACTTAATGAAGAAAATGCTCAAAAAATTTCATCAAAAAATTACACCGGAAACTGCCCCAAATGGCGACCGACTGCTGGACAGAGCCTCCTATAAAAGGGCTGATTTGCACTTTTTTTTGTAAGTTTAAGGGCTTATTTGATAGTTCACCCTTAAATTTATTAGGAGTCAAAGTCGTGTGTTAGCAAATGTTAAATTCAAAGTGTTGCAATCAAATAAGAAATAAGGTAGTACATTTGCACGCGTAGTCAACAACGAAAATGCAGCATGGTATATGCAATGATATAATCATGTTCATAGGTACACAAGTTCCAAGCGCCTGACAAATTATTTGTTCCATTCATCATTGAGGACTATCTAGCAACTTTACAATTTTTTGCTACTCCATACCAAGTTACAATGTTTTTTCTTTTAAAATAAGAATTCCTTTTTAGTGTTTTAGGGACTTCATGCTACTCCGTTCGTCCCATAATGTAAGACGTACTTGGGTTTGACACAGGTCTTAAGACAATAAAAGTTGTAGTAGTTATTTTACACTATAACATTCAAAAAGTAGTAAAAGGTGCTATGAGTCCACAAAAAAGTAAAAAAGTGAAATGATAGATAGAAGCATAAAATGGGAATGTAGGAATTAAATAGTGTTCAACTTAGAAAACTGTTCATATTTTTTGGACAACCCAAAAGTAAAGTGTATCTTACAAAATGAGACGGAGGGAGTATGTTCCATAACTTTAATAGATTCATTGTTGAATATTTGACATGATTATATATGTCTAACAATATACGCACTTGGGCAGGTATGCTTCCATATGGATGTAGCATTGTTTAATACATACTCCATCGCTTTTGCCAAAAGTTGTCGGCCAGTTTTATTCTTTCTCTTTCTTTCAATCCTTGTATTTAACATTCTCTGTGTAGGTGAAAAAGAGTGGAATGCCACCTGGGCCCCGTGCCGGTTTCTCAATGTGTATCCATAAAAAGCGGGCAATACTATTTGGAGGAGTTGTTGATATGGACTTGGAAGGTAAATCCCGTTTCCGCAAGTTTATCTCTGTTCATTTGTTGATTGCATGCAATCCATGCATTTAAAATAATTACTGATCAATGGACAAATACAAAAGTAGTAAAATTTTGTCCTAGTTCCCAAGCATACTCAAATGTATTTCACACTCTTATTAGCTTCTATAATACTACGTATAATTTACTGATTTTTACCATAAAACTTAACATTAAAAAGGATAAGAAGATTCTATTTTAGCCAGGAAGTTCTCATTTGGGAGCCAAATGTAAGTAGGGCCAAATGAGACTATTGGATATAACCTATTGCTTGTAAGTAGGAGTCCATATTAGTTGTGCCAAGTTGGAAGGTTGCAATCTCAAAGCTTAGGTTAGATCATGCTTTGAGCTGCTTGATCTAGCCTCTGAATAAGCTTAACTAGGTTTATTTTAGGCTTATGATTCTTGGTTCAATCACAACCAAATCAAGTTTGAGTAGTTGAACTGCTTTTATTGAATAGCTAACCAATATCTTGACTTGCGTATACCCATAGTTGCTTATATCCATTTTGAACAGGGGCGGAGCTAGATGGGGCCAACCTAAGCCCGGGCCCACCCCAAATTTAAAATATGCCTTAGTTTTTAAGGTAAACAATTCAGTGTAAAATTTTTCCGAAATATATTCTTTGTACCATCGTAGTCCGACCCAGTGCCCTGACTCTGCACCTGATTATGGAAAAACCAACCATTTGAATCACAAGCTTTCCCATCCTATTGCCATCTTCTCATACACCACACCATTATCTGTTGCTAGCTTATTCTTGAAATCTTCTTAGTGATCTTTCTTTTCCCTTTCAAATTCCAATTCCATGTTCTTCAGCAAAGCAAACTGTTTTGTCAAAATGAACTTTTTACTTTCTTATGGTAAGACGGTCAAATAAGTCCTCATACCATATCTAAAAAGTTAATTGAGTCCTCATACTATCAAATCAGCCAATTAAATCCTCCAACTATTACAAAATGTTCAATTTTACGTTTTGGCCGATTGATTATAGTTACTCCCAGTAATTTTTCCTTCCTTCCTGCCTGCCCGCCCGCCCGCCTGCCTGCCTTCCTCCCCCCCCCCTCCCCTTCCTTCCCTCCCTTCCTTCCTTCGCTATCTCCTCCCCAGATCCATACTTTTCAGTGAGTTTGCCGTCTATCTCACCAACTGCCGCTGACCCCCCAATTTCACCAATCCCCTCCCCCCTTTTCTCTTCTGGTTTTCCTTTTCTTCTTTGGGATCTAGGACTTCTTCCTCTCTTCTGTATTGTTTCTTTCTCTTATTTGGTAGTTGATACTTGATACCAAAGACCTCTGCCTCTCTTCATCTCGTTGGACTTCGGATTCGTGATTGTCGATGAAGAGTGACACTGTGGCAAGGGAGTGAGCCGCATGGAGCTTAATGACACCATTTCCGACGTTTATTGCCGAGTCCTTTTCTGGAGTATGCATCCCGCATCTAGGAGTTGCACGTTGCTAGCGCCCTATCAGGGAGATAGGCAGGAAGGGGATAAAGAGTTATATAATACGGAGTAAAAGAGAAGAACAAAAAATGTAAAAGAAAAAAGAAGCTTGAAGCACGCAGGTCTGAAGCTTGGGAGGAAGGTGTCTGGATGAAGAGAGGGAGAGGGAGAAAGAAAAGGACAGAAAAAGAAAAAAGGAAAAAAGTAGGTAGATGCCACATGGGTGCCACATTTTCATTTTTAATCTGATACCCGGTAATTTCTCACCTAAAAGTGTGATTTGAACATGTTTTGAAAGTTGGATGATTTAATTGAATGATTTAATAGTACGAGTCTTTCCATCATTTGCAATGGAAACAAAGATTCACTATTTTTTGGCTTGAAAATATGATGGAATAAAGCAAAATGGCTCACTAAACTGTCTGCGGTTCTTTGTTATGAAGCAACAGTCACTCAGTAAGTCCATGCAATTTTGGACGTGATTTTCACTATGGGTCATCTAGATCTGTGTGCTTTAGTACAGGGGTAAGACTGCGTACATCCGACCCCCCGATCCCACCGTAGGTGGGAGCCTTTGCGGCACTGGGGTAATGACTAATGAAGTAATGATGATGATAATTTAATAGTATGAGTACTCAATTGACTTTTTGAGTAGAGTACGGGGACCTATTTGACAGTTTTCCCTTTTTTTATCTTGTAAAACCTAATGATAAAGAGGGAAAAAGAAATACTATTTTCTAACTTTAAGTATGTTGAGACTTGAAGGGGAGACTTGGCTCACCAGTAATGTTTTGTGACTGAGAGGTCACACGTTCAAGTATTGGGAGCAGCCTCTTGTCACAATGACAAAAGAAGACTACTTGGGCCCTTGTGATGGGACCCTTCCTCGGGCCGTCACCTTGCGGGGATGCCAATGTGCACCAGGCTGCTAATTTTCAAGTATGTTGAGACTTAAGAATGGCACATGGTCAAAGGATGTTTGCTAGCCTTGTGTCTTTATACACTTCTACTTCCTGAGCTTATACAAGTTATTTCCTTCTCATTTTTAAGCAAATTATTTACTACGTATTATAATATTCCCTTATTCAGTTGTCAAATTCTCATTGGCTCTGTAGGAGATGTAATGATGAGCTTGTTCTTGAATGAACTTTATGGCTTCCAAGTAGATAGTCATCGATGGTAAAATCTCGTTCTTTGCTTTCTATCTTTATGAATGGTTAATTTATATTTAATCATGTTGTAAAAATTCCATAATATCCCCCATTAATACCCACCATGTTATTATACTCCCCTCGGGCATTTAGTGGATTTCCTGCTTAGGCCCTTCCTAGTTCCTCTTCGGACCTGCCTATCCCTGATTAATCCTTGGCTAGGCGCTATCCCCAGCCTTCAATCTGGCTGGTGGCTGACACTTTTCCAAACATTTCAGTCAGTCATCCCAAGTTTCAACATCTATATTTGCTTATTGATATTTTGATTAATGAAAGTTACTGATTTCATACTATAATTAAGTATAGGTATCCATTGGAGCTGAGGAAAGAAAAGTCTTCAAAGGAAAAGGTAGTCTGAATGGACAAGGTCGCACTTTCTTCTGTAAAAAACAAGTTCTGCTATCTATTGAAAAGATTTGTGTAACTTCTTCATATCTCTAACCACACTGTACTTGGCATTCAAAAGAGTTCATAAAGATTTTGTTCTAAAAGGCATCTGGATGTGGATTGTAATTAAGATTTTCTGGATTGACCTGTAGTTGAAAAGAACATCAAATGAGAAACCTCAACATAAGGATCTTGATAGTAAGCCAACTACCATGAATGTGGAACACTCTATTTCTGATGATGAAGACGAGGACTTCGCTCATGATGAAGAAGCCGCGGAAGTGAATCTTGATAAGATCTCTTCAAATATGAAAAGAAATGTGACTATTGATGAACATGTGAAAAGAAGATCTGATGAAAAATCTCTTGCACCTGTCTCTGAATCAGTTGTGCACTGCTCAGTTCCAGCGGAGGTTTGCCATTCTAAAATGATATGCTATCTCTGTAATTTATTCTTTCAGTTTGGCCATTTGAGAATTGAGAACTATGTGAGTTTCAGGCCGTGAAACCCTGTGGGCGCATCAATTCATGTGTAGCTGTAGCTAGAGATACTTTGTATGTCTATGGTGGAGTGATGGAAATCAGGGATCGAGAAGTTACACTTGATGATCTATATACACTTAACCTCAGCAAACTTGATGAATGGAAGTGCATCATAGCGGTTTGTTTTTCTTTCTCATATACTATCATCTATGTATGCATTTTCCTGGTGTCCAGTTGTATAAAGTCTATGATTATGACATTATGTTTTAATATTTCTATTACTTATTGCAATTAAGGTATTGCTGTGTGACTGAGAGGCGAGAGGTCACGGGTTCAAGTTTTGCGAGCGGTCTCTTGTAAAAAAATTGACATGGGAAGGCTCACCCCTTATACACCCTTGTGGTGGGACCCTTCCCCAGACCCTTGCCTTGCGGTGATGCCTTTGTGCACCGGGCTGCCCTTATTACTTTTGCAATTACTGTACAAAATATTCAGAGTCAAATTTTCCATTTTATAGTTCAATGAGTTGCTATTTATTTAAACCTTTCCACCTAAATTTCAATTTATGAGTGAATTGTTTAGGCTTTGATCTTTTTGGGATTTTAGTTTTGTTTCTTTTTGGCTCACGTGTACATGTCCTACTTTCTTCTTCTTCTTTGATGATTACGTGTACCTGCACAGGCTTCTGAGCCAGAGTGGGTTGAAGCATCAGACGATGAAGAAGAAGATGACAATGGCGATGAAGGGGAAAGCGGAGATGATAGTGCTGATGAATCTAGTGAAGATGATAGTGCAGAGGTTTCTTTCTTTCTCATAATCTTGAAACCATTCTGTTTTGTTTAAACATGCCTCTACTTTTTAAAAACAATCTTCTTCTACTTTCCGGATTCAACCATGATGAAATGCATGTTATTTGACACTTGTATTTATGAAAAGGCTGGTACTGATAGTTCAAGATCAATCAAAATGGGAGATGCTGTGGCTATAGTGAAGGGTGAAGGAAAAACTCTTCGAAGGAAGGAGAAACGGGCTAGAATCGAACAAATCAGGGCTCATCTTGGTCTCTCCGACTCTCAAAGAACACCAGCGGTAGTCTAAATTTCTATCTTACGATGCCATTCTTTGATACAAATTTAAAAATGCTCTGTCTTGTACATTTTTCTTATTCTTCTCTTTCTTGGTCGTCTTCTCTGTCTGGCATCGATATCTTAGATTGATTCATGTTAGCCGACCCCAAAGACCCCAAATTCTGTTGGGATTAAGGCTTGGATGTTGTTGTTGTTGTATCATTATTTTATCAGTGAATCTAATATGCTTTAGACATTTATGTGCTGAAGCCTGGGGAGTCTTTGAGGGACTTTTATAAACGCACAAACACATACTGGCAAATGGCAGCATATGAACACACACAACACACCGGAAAGGTTCGTTTTCCAAATTCCTTTCATATTTCTTTCACTGGAAGGTATAAGCAAAAATAGGCCTTAACTAATTTAGGGCATTGAGTGCAGGAGCTGCGCAAGGATGGGTTTGATCTTGCTAAATCCCGGTACAGGGAGCTCAAACCGATTCTTGATGAGGTAAAGTTACATGTTCTACTTCTGGTTAGCTGCTAATAAAGACCTATGGAATAATAACGTTCTAAACATATATATTCAAACTGCAGCTGGCCATTCTTGAGGCAGAGCAGAAGGCTGAAGAAGAAGGTCCTGAAACTAGCAGTTCTAAAAAGAGAGTCGGAAACAAGAAAAGTAAACATCTGGCATCTAAATAGTATTGTTGACCCTACAAACCCTGTGATTTTCAGCAAATGTGGTAAGCTTCAAACCATTACCAGAGCACAGTTGGTGCAGCTGCTCAAAGAAGCTGATCTGTGGTGGGTATCTACTTGGATTGATAAGACATCGTGGATTGTTCTGTGCATGAAACAGGATCCCTTTACAGATTGATACTACGTATACGGAACTAGTCTGGATTACATACGGAAAATTTTTCATGTAGCAAGTGCTGGGTAGATTATTTACGGAGTATAATTTAAGGGGAATTCTATATACAGCCACAGAGTTGCTATTCACAGCCATCTAATTAAATTTTAATAATTAAAAATATTTCAAATGTCCAATTTACCCTTTAAAACATATCACCATTGCTGCCTCAATTTTAAATGTCATTTGCCGAGGCCAACATTTGCTTTATCAATGTCGAATCCTAAAGGTATCGAGGCCATTACAGGAAAATGCGTGTAAATGCCCTTCTTCTAAAGATTAATTAGATCAGGACCGTAATTGAAGCTATTGAAGTAGTCCAAGATTTCTTGAATCGAATATGATGCGGAGTTGATGGCATCAAGGATGTCTTGGAGTTGATGGCATCAAGGATTAGGGATGGACTTGGGCCGGGTTAACCAGCCTGGCCTGGTACTGTTACAGCCTGTCCCGGTACCCGGTACCCGAGTCTGTGCCCGGTTTGGGCCAACCGGCGCGCTACTGTTCAGGGGCGGTTCCTGGGCCTCTCAAATCGTGAACCGGCCCGGCCGGTTTGGGCTTGGTTTAGGCCATATTTTTGGGTTTTCAAAATTTGAAAAAGGTAAATGGGTTGGTCTGGGTGTTTTGGACAGGTTTGGGGTGTGGGGTGGGGGGTGGGGGGAGGGCTAGGAAGTAATTAGAAAATCAAAAAAAGGAAATTGGGTTGACCTGGCCCGACCCGAACCGGTAACCGGCTTGACCCGGAACCGGTAGCTACCTGGGTCGGTTCCGGGCCTCATGGTTCCCAAAAAAAGCCCGGTCAGAACCGGCCCAAGGCTTGGCCCGGCCCGCATCGAGTTCATGCCAAACAAGGATGTCTTTCTCATGCAAGACACGCTGGGAACACATACCTGTTCTTTGGCCACTTACTGTTTCTTTGAAGAGCTATAAATTCACATGAAACCAAAGGTTTACCAGATCGATCCCACTAGGAATTCGCCGAAGACGAAAGGAAACTGCGTGATATGTTGTTCTCTCCGTGTATGACTAAGATAGACCGGAAGTTTTGGTCACGTAGCTCCATCTTTCCGGTGAACGTTTCCTAGCAAAACAGTGATAGAGCAAGAGTCCAGTCTTCAACCCTTCAAATGCGTTGCTGCAGTTTTCCTCCGGTGGTGAAACAATCCAGAAACTCTGCGGCGATGCTCGCTTTTCTTCTGGCGATGGTGTCGTTGTCTTCAACTCCTTACTGTGGCAGGTCTGGAATCCGGAAGTGTACTCAATTTTCTAGGTGTTCAATGGCTGTTTTGTTTAAGGGCAAAAGAGATATTTACAAATGAATTATTTAATTAATTATTTCATGAAGGGCTGTGGTTAGCCATTTTCTGGTTCCATTTAGAACCACCCATAATCCCTAATTTAATTGATGGAAGGTGCATGGACATTGATTGTTTGATGGATGATCATGGGTGGATCAGATATTTTGTATTGGATTGGGCTGAAGACACGGGTGGAGCCAAGGAGGGTCAAGTTGGTCCGCTCACCCCTGAAAGTTTGAGTATGTAGAGATTGAAAAAATACTTTCGATTTGATATATTCTGGTTTCGATTTGATATATTATGCTTCTCGTAATTTATGAGTAAAAAATTATAACTAATGAAAAATTAGCATCATTTAAATTTGAAATGAGTAAAATTTGATGCGTTACAACTTACAAATTTTAAAAACGTCTTATTTACTACGGAGTATTAGTTAAGTTATATTTATAAAAACTATATATTACTCTCTCTGTTCTATTTTACCTGTTATACTTTCCTTTTTTGCTTGTCCCCAACTAAGTTATCTTAGGTATGAGGTTGTAGGACAACCCTAAACGAAAAACGTTAGGTAAAAAGGGGATAGAGTGCATATTTATTGGATATGATGAACATATAAATCATATTGATTCTATGTTATTGAACCGGATGACTCAATTGTGGTTCATACTGTTATTGAGTCTAGGAGATGCTCTTTTCGATGAGAAGCGGTTCTTCTATTCCTAGGCCAAAGGATGTTGATCTCAGTCCAAGTAATTCAAATTTTCATGAACTGGAAAAGGATCATGAAAATGAGCCTGAAATTAGACGGAATAAGAGGGCTAGAAAAGAAAAGTCATTTGGTCCCGATTTCCAATTATATTTGGTTGAAGGATCAAGAGAGACCCTCGTAACTCACACACTATACTGTTATAGTGTTGAGGAGGCAATGAAATCACAAGATGCTTCCTTCTGGAAAGAGGCCGTGAACAATAAAATGGATTCAATCATGGGCGATAATACTTGGGCTCTAAGTGATTTACCACCCGGTTGCACACCAATCGATTGTAAATGGATTTTCGAGAAGAAAATGAAAGTAGACGGTACCATTGACACATCTAAAGCTAGATTGGTTGCACAAGGCTGTAAACAAAAACATGGTATTGATTACTTTGATACATATGCACCGGTAGCCAGAATAACAACCATAAGATTGTTAATTGTTTTATGAGCCATTCACAATCTTGTGATTCACCAAATGGTTGTCAAAATTGCATTCGTAAATGGTGATATGGAGGAGGGTGTATATGAAACAACCCGAAGGGTTTGTAGTTAAAGGACAAGAAAACAAAGTTTGTAAACTTGTCAAGTCCTTGTATGGTCTTAAACAAACATCTAAACAATGGCATCAAAGGTTTGATGAGGTGGTGCTGAAAAATGGTTTTAAAATAAACCAATCAGATAAGTGTGTATATAGAAAATTTATTGAGCATGGTAATGGTGTCATTATTTGTTTATATATGGATGGCATGCTCATATTTGGCACTGATTTGATGCGAGTGAAAGAGATAAAAGCTTTCCTCTATTCAAACTTCTCCATGAAAGATATGGGTGAAGCAGAAGTTATCCTTGGAATTAGGATAATAAAGTAAGGTGATTGTATCACCTTAACACAATCTCACTATATAGAGAAAGTGTTGAAAAGTTTTGGGAGTTTGGATTGTTCACTAGTCTCCACTCCTATGGATCCTAGCTGGAAATTAGTTCCAAATAGTGAGAATGTTGTATCACAGCTGGAATATGCTAGGGTAATTGGGTGTCTGATGTATGCAATGACTAGCACCCGACCAGATATTGCATTTGCGGTAGGCAAGCTAAGTAGATATACTAGTAACCCTAGTATATTTCATTGGCAAGCCTTAAAACGCTGAAATATCTAAAGAAAACAATGAGCTTCAAATTATGTTACAAGAATGAACCCTCTATATTAGAAGGTTTTACGGATGCAAGTTGGATGACTAATCAAGAGGATTATTCATCCACAAGTGGATGGTTATTTATTCTTGGAGAAGGTGTTATATCATGGGCATCTAAGAAACAAACTTGTATCACAGACTCTACCATGGCTTCAGAGTTTATAACTTTAGCATCACCTTGTAAAGAAGCGGAATGGCTAAATGATTTAGTGTCACAAGTCCCAATATGGCATAAACCTATGGCTTCGATATCAATCCATTGTGATAGTGCATCAACTCTGTCGAAAGCTTATAACCATGTGTACAATGGTAAGTCAAAGCACATATGAGTGAGACACGACTATGTGAGAGAACTTATTAATTAGTTCTGGAGTTGTTGTGATTGATTTTGTACAATCACATGTGAATTTGGCTGATCCTTTAACAAAAACGATGCCAAGGGACATGGTGTACAAAACGGCAAAAAGGATGAGCTTAAAGCCCTTAGAAAATAATCACAAGTGAAAGAAAGCTCAACTCAACGTCTAGTACAACGCTAGATCTTCTGTGGTTGAAGCACTTTTAAATAATAACCATCTCGAGGTAAGTGCTTGAGTCTGCAATGTTTAATGAGGTTCACTATGTCTTAATAGATCTTTTGATAAAGTGTTTGATAGCAGAACACATTTTGAAAAGACCTACCTATGTGAGCTAGAATGGCCGCCGATTCACCAAGTTTAAGGCTTCACTTGTTGGAGCTCATGAATGGACACAAAGCCGTTAATTGTGTCAAGTTTCTAAGTGAAATTGTATAGAGACTTATGTGTGTAATATCTTCAGTATTCCAAAGAAGTTATGACACTTTCAATTACACATAAGTCTTGATAAATGGTCTATTTGGCAAGGATTGAGCATGTTTATTTCTCAATAAATGGAGGAGGATTGTTTAAACTTATTGAGAAATATGACTCAAATGTTCAACATGATCCTTAATAATATTGTTTTGATTAGCTATTGTTGAGTATAATTAAAATAATATTATTAAGGATAAAATAAAGTTAAGTTATTAGATTATTAGACATGTAAATTACTTTTCCTATTGGTTAAAGTAATTATTGACGTACTTATAATAATAATTAAAATTATACATCATTAGTGGATGGTGATGCATGTACGTATTTTGTTTAAAAATTAAATAGGCAAGTCATGCCATTTCCGAGCAACTATGTACGCACATGATCAAATCAAAATCAATTATTATTTTTGATTTCAAAATTGGGGAAAGATAATGCAGCCGATTTACAACCATGACTTTTCATAAAGTTGTAATGTTTCATATGAAATTGATGATGTGAGACAACATGTGTGTTGTTGTCTATAAATATATGTTGAACCTGAAGTTTAAGTGTAACTTCAAAAAATTAATCTCTTGCTATATGTATCCACTAGATTCTCACCCGCGCGATGCGCGGAATATTAAAATGTAATAGTGATACGACATTATTTGTAAATGCTATTTGTCTAAGTGAAACGAAAGCAAATTGTCATACACTTAACGCGTATACTAAATTATGATTAAAGATCGGATAACAAAGACTCAGAGATAAGTAGTAAGTATATTTGGAATAAGTTGGAAAAAGTAAACGGTAACAGGACTTCACAAACTACACATTACGAAAAACTTCCTTATAAACTACATTGGTGGTATGGTTAGTTGATTGACCGTCTTCATCGCAAATTAATATCTTCAGACCCTTAGGATTTGTTACCCTTGACACTGCAACATACAGCTGACCATGCGTGAAGACCGACTTTTTCAGTAAAAGTCCAACATGAGACAAAGATTGTCACTGACTTTTATTTATAGTCATCGCATAAGAGGTCATGACCGGAAATTGTCTTCTCTGAAACTTGAATGGTATTCTTGAATCCGAAGGAGTTAAGCTTAAC